ATTTTGTTTAGCGCCTGAAATGATTTTGAAGATTAACTTCAAGGTTTTATGTTTGCAAATGAAAATCTAAATTCATTGCTAATAGTATTCTAAATATAAAAGTTTGTTCTGGTTTTTGCCTAACTATCATATAGCTATATGGCAAGTTTCTATTTTGTCGTATGTCGTCTCTGGTTCGAGGTCTTCTTCCAATTCCGGGTAGTTCTGTTATGGTTCGGAATATTGGCTCTGATCTATTGAGTCGTAGAGACATTTCGATTAAATTATTGTCGTATAACATTTTGTAAATGTTTTTGTCTAATTTCTAATCTATTTTGGTTAATTCTAAGCTATTAAGGTCTTGTTCGAGACTTATGGTCGCACCAGATGAGTTAGGACCGAGTTGGTTAACTCATAGAGTAATTTCGGATAGGGTACACCGTCTGCTCGTCACGCTATCTTATTTTCGGCCGGATAGATTCGTGCAACTTCTTAGTCTAATACCGATCCTAATCTTACTCTTATACTATCTAGTCTCAGGTTGTTTAACTAGTCTCTGCTAGGCTCAATAGATCTAGAGTATACTGGTTTATTGCGGCTGCTGAAGTGCTCGGGAGAGTCCAACTAATTTCTAAGTTAAATTCAAATCTCTCTGGTGCTGAAATTACAAGTAACTTCAGCACTTACAAATAAGTGGGTTGTTAGTTAGATGGATCATGATTGGTTAATATTAAATACTTTACATTGGTAAAATATCTAAATTATCCAATCATAAAATGTAGTCTAGATCAGGTTCCATGAGGCTCTCATCGGCATGAAAAATATAGATCAAATAGTAGAAGCTCAGCCACTAGCAATGGATCAGTAGCTTCAATAGTTGCACCCCAAACTGCTTTGAACACTCAGCCATCATCCAGTTAATCTTCGGTTCCGATGTTCATCAGACAAGTCAGGATCTCAGATCCGTCAATGCACATTTACTTGTCTCCGCGTTTTTTTTTGCCAAATACGAAAACTTCAGGGATTCTGCAGTCGCGGGCTGAAAATGATCAAACAAATGACCCGACCCCACTTTGCTCTAGACCGAGAAGATCTCCTTTATTTTAAACTTCAATTTTGATAGAACGTAGATATGGTAATCTTCTTTCCAGGCCAATCACAACAAACAATGTTTGGCGTTCATTACAGTTCTCAGGAGCCATCCGATATTTTTAATGGAATATTGCAAGCTTATTCAAATCAGTTGTTCATCAACTTCAGAATCAGATGAACCCAGTGTCAAAAGCGCTCTTTAATGCAATCTTTTTAGTTTTTGTGTCGACGGCAAGTAGCTCAGCAGTGTTTCAGCCGATCAGTTTCATCCTGCATCCTTCTTACTCGCCAGCTTTAAATGCATTCAACTTTGTTTATACAACCAATCACCAAAATGCATCACTAGCAAAGACCGTTTCAAGCCTGAACTCAATAGTGATACTGAAGGATGGCGATGGATTGCAACAAGCAGGCCATATACTCTCAATTACAACCTTGCACCGTTTTTTGCTCAGTAGCACTTTGACTTATCACACAATTACCGTGCAAAATAAAACGAATTCTTCTAGTGTCTCTGGGAAAAATAATTACAATACCCACTCTGCAGAAAGGAAATGAAAAAACTTACTGACATCATCGTTCTGCTTAATTGCCGGACACCCCAATCCAGAAGCTTGAACAAAAACCCCTCAATTGAATTGGTTGGACGTCATCACAAACAACGAATGAATAAGCTACCTACAAACACCGGTAGTAAGATCAACTAGAGAAATCATATCAGGATTTCTTTGCAACCCTATTTCTTACGACTCAGATTTACAGGAAACCAACCGAAAAATTTGCCGCTTCAACTAAAGAGTAGGAATTATGCTGAGCATCTCAATTAGAAGGCAATTTATTCTGATTAGGTCCGCCAATTTTCTCAGAGACCTGGTTCAAATCTTTTTTGCTATTGGGCTTAACACTGTCCTAATTCAATTTATTTGATGACAAAAGTCAGGGATAAATTACATTTTCCGCTAAAAAGCGAAGTCACAATCTGATGGTCAAAATCATAGTAGATCAGGTAGTGCAAGATTTGTCATGGTGGATGGACAGACAAGAACAAGCCTGTGAACACTTCAAAGACATCATAACACAATCAAACCCCATCCCTTCGGTAAACAACAGCAGTTTCTATAGGGCCAGAAAAAAGGATAGAAGACATCCAAATTATGGGAAACTAAACTCTAAAAATCAATTTCAAACTCCAAAAAACACTACTAAGTTGAACTTTCAAACTCTAGACAAGAAAGCTAAAGTAGCTGTAAATATTTCGTTTCAAATCAAGCCTAATCATCCTTAACTTCCCGGAGTAAGCCATGTCTTCTAGATCAGCAAGATCTTTTTATTAGACAGCGTTCAAAATTCAAAAGACTGTCAGTGAACCGACGAATAGAATAATGAAAGAAGTTAAATAAATTTTGCTATAAATATCTCAGTGGAAAGCATTCAAAAGGAAAAGCTTCTCCAACATTTTTTGCTTTCCTAATCGCAAACCTCGTTTTCTGCTTCACGATCAAAGCTTCAAACTAGCGCAAGCATTACATGCCATGAACAGCAAAACTAACCTCTGGGAGTCCATGTAAATGGATGCCAATGAAAAACAAGCCCCATACAATTTTGCAGCGGTTTTCGCCTCAAAAATTGAAAATCAACAGCCTTTGATGCTAATGAAACTGTTCGATGTCAAGTGTTCCCAATCATGTTATGCGTTATTAGACAACTGCAGCATCAAACAATATGCACTATAGAAAGTAGCAGAAAAAGTAAAAAACGCCTGACTTTCAAGCCACCTGACTTTTTATCTCATCGTTTCAAATTAAATTTTAGTTGAAAAAGAATAGCTACTAAGCACGTGGATTGAGGGTCTGCAGATGGTTTGAGGACCTGCAGATTCTATGACATTTATGTCTTGATCAGGTGAAGTTATAATTTGGAAAACCAGCGCTGCTGGTGAAGCCAAAAATTAATTTATCGATTGAATTTACCTCTGAGTTTTTTCAGATTGGATTGCTTTTCTTCGAGTAAACAACTAATGCAAATCGAGAAAGTTTATTGCAAAGTGTCATCATCATTATGACGTCTCAACCAAATCTGAATTATAATCTTCCAGTGAAGCATAATTTTTTAATTTTTAAAAGTTTCTGAAGCTTTTGTTTTGGTTTCTTATATCTTAGCGTTACAAGATTTGATAATGATAAAGTAACAATTTTGTAACAGTTGTTAGTTTTAAGAGTGTTTCAAATTGTTATAAATAGAGATGGCATGGTTCTGGTTTTTGTACATTTGATAATAGTACAGTACAGTATGTTGCCAACACGAGGTCAACATTACCGAAGATGAAGTTACGCAAGAGAGAATGTCGGTTGGGAAGCCGTACCCGCGTCGTGGACCAGTTTTTGAACTGGAGTAAAGAACTAGCAACCAAAAATTTTATGCATAAGGTTGCACCATTTATAACAAGATTTTTACTGCTTTATTTTCTGATACCCGCATCCAGTTTCAAGTTTTAATAATCGATTAAATATGATTTTAGTACCAGTCTTACAAAAATTGATAAGATATAGATTTTATTCAATCATTAATCGATTATAATCTCTCTTTTTGAACTCAAATGTTATCAATTTTATTACATCATAGTTGATTATAATCGATTATACTATCCGAATTTCTATCTCATTTGTTTTGCAGAAAAAATCCTCACAACCGATCATAATTATTTATAACCCTTTTGTTTGCCCCTTTTCGACCTTGCACATGAATTGTTTATATTTGATGCTTTTAGTAGACGTTGGTTCATCTGAAAAATGGGAAATTTGTATTAACAGTTTTCAAATCAATTCAAATTTATAACGTTTTTATTTTTTATTTTTTTCTTGTCTATAGTTGTTTTATGATGTATTTTTTTGAAATTTTTTAGACCAATAAAATGTCAGCACTCTGCCTTACTTTCATGATTTATAAAGAAGATTTTTATTTCACCTACCGCGGGATTCTTTCAGCTAATATGAAGGGATCTCTATGAAACTTTTGTTTCGCGGTAAATTTTGTGTTCAGATGGACCAAAGAGTGTTAAAACATCTCAATTTGAGAGTTATTTGACAGAAAAAAAGTATAATATTCTATTATAACAGATTATAAGAGATTATAAAAGATTATAAGAGATAAAAAGAATTTTTTGGCAAATTTAGATTTGATTATAATTGTTATATAACGTCACGAAAATTGTTATCATATTAATGGAATATAAATTGTTTAAACATCTACATTTGGCGCTCATTTTTAATTAAATATAATTTTGATAAAAGTTCAATTATAATTGTAATATAATCGATTATTTTCTCTTTTTACTGAGTGCGGGTTTTATTATTTTTTTCCTAAGATTTTGACTGAATTTTCTCTGATTCATGGATGGCTTATGCCTGATTCAGACCTGAAAGTTTAAAACTAATTCAGCGATGATTTATTCCTGATCTTGGATAAAGTGACACTGATCATAGACTGAACCCTAAATGGTTATCGCTGCGATATCTCTGAATTAGCGATATAAAATTTCTTGCCAACTCAATCCGGGGTTGCATTTTTTTCTGGTTACGAAAGACTAGAATTGGCAAATTGGGGCCGCAAAATTTAGCAAATAGAAATATTAGTCGCGCCGGCTAAAAATCTGCGGGCTTAATAGCGCAAGTGGTCTTATGTCCAATTGGGTGGTGGAAATTTCTCCTCTTCTCCTCTTCTCCATCTTCTCTTGGTCACAAAAGTCTGAAAGCGCTTTTTTTCGGCCACGAAAATCTTGAAAATCCAATTTCTGGTCACTAAAACCTGGCAGTACCGCAATTTGGTCGCAATTTTCTGGACATAAGCCAGCACAGCAGACACCAAATCTTGAAGAGGTAATTATTATGCATATTAAATATAAGGCTGTATATCAATTAATGACGTCACACCTCGTCTGGACTAGACGCCTGGTACTTTTCATTGAACTGGCCACTTAATCCGCCATCTTCAGTTCCATCCGGGGGTGCTAGGAAGACATTGTGGCACAGTGCCACCGCCAGTACTGCATCCAGGACTTTCTGGGACCGGGCCGGAGCTGTCGATGGGGAATTTGCCGCCTCGGAGATGTCTTTTTTAATCTAGAAGATCCAGAAATGATTTTTTTAACTTCCATTTTTGCATTTTTTATCTGTTACCTGGTCCAGAAGGGGTAAAATTTCAAATCGAAACGCGGAATTTAAAAAGAAATTCCAGCTTCGAGCTATCAATTTCATATGCTTAGAATGAATTTCAGCTCTTTCTAAGTATGGTAATAAAAAATTGCTCCAGTTTAATTACTTCCTTTGATGCAATACTAGGCAAAAAAAAAATAAGAATATTCTAGAAAACAAATGTCCAAAAAATATTTCACTGACCTCCTCGTTTCCGTCTGAATTTAGAACTAGATTTCCCAGGTGCAATTTTTTGAACACCATCTCTTGCACATGAATTGTTTATATTTGATGCTTTTAGTAGACGTTGGTTCATCTGAAAAATGGGAAATTTGTATTAACAGTTTTCAAATCAATTCAAATTTATAACGTTTTTATTTTTTATTTTTTTCTTGTCTATAGTTGTTTTATGATGTATTTTTTTGAAATTTTTTAGACCAATAAAATGTCAGCACTCTGCCTTACTTTCATGATTTATAAAGAAGATTTTTATTTCACCTACCGCGGGATTCTTTCAGCTAATATGAAGGGATCTCTATGAAACTTTTGTTTCGCGGTAAATTTTGTGTTCAGATGGACCAAAGAGTGTTAAAACATCTCAATTTGAGAGTTATTTGACAGAAAAAAAGTATAATATTCTATTATAACAGATTATAAGAGATTATAAAAGATTATAAGAGATAAAAAGAATTTTTTGGCAAATTTAGATTTGATTATAATTGTTATATAACGTCACGAAAATTGTTATCATATTAATGGAATATAAATTGTTTAAACATCTACATTTGGCGCTCATTTTTAATTAAATATAATTTTGATAAAAGTTCAATTATAATTGTAATATAATCGATTATTTTCTCTTTTTACTGAGTGCGGGTTTTATTATTTTTTTCCTAAGATTTTGACTGAATTTTCTCTGATTCATGGATGGCTTATGCCTGATTCAGACCTGAAAGTTTAAAACTAATTCAGCGATGATTTATTCCTGATCTTGGATAAAGTGACACTGATCATAGACTGAACCCTAAATGGTTATCGCTGCGATATCTCTGAATTAGCGATATAAAATTTCTTGCCAACTCAATCCGGGGTTGCATTTTTTTCTGGTTACGAAAGACTAGAATTGGCAAATTGGGGCCGCAAAATTTAGCAAATAGAAATATTAGTCGCGCCAGCTAAAAATCTGCGGGCTTAATAGCGCAAGTGGTCTTATGTCCAATTGGGTGGTGGAAATTTCTCCTCTTCTCCTCTTCTCCATCTTCTCTTGGTCACAAAAGTCTGAAAGCGCTTTTTTTCGGCCACGAAAATCTTGAAAATCCAATTTCTGGTCACTAAAACCTGGCAGTACCGCAATTTGGTCGCAATTTTCTGGACATAAGCCAGCACAGCAGACACCAAATCTTGAAGAGGTAATTATTATGCATATTAAATATAAGGCTGTATATCAATTAATGACGTCACACCTCGTCTGGACTAGACGCCTGGTACTTTTCATTGAACTGGCCACTTAATCCGCCATCTTCAGTTCCATCCGGGGGTGCTAGGAAGACATTGTGGCACAGTGCCACCGCCAGTACTGCATCCAGGACTTTCTGGGACCGGGCCGGAGCTGTCGATGGGGAATTTGCCGCCTCGGAGATGTCTTTTTTAATCTAGAAGATCCAGAAATGATTTTTTTAACTTCCATTTTTGCATTTTTTATCTGTTACCTGGTCCAGAAGGGGTAAAATTTCAAATCGAAACGCGGAATTTAAAAAGAAATTCCAGCTTCGAGCTATCAATTTCATATGCTTAGAATGAATTTCAGCTCTTTCTAAGTATGGTAATAAAAAATTGCTCCAGTTTAATTACTTCCTTTGATGCAATACTAGGCAAAAAAAAATAAGAATATTCTAGAAAACAAATGTCCAAAAAATATTTCACTGACCTCCTCGTTTCCGTCTGAATTTAGAACTAGATTTCCCAGGTGCAATTTTTTGAACACCATCTCGTTCTGAGTCAGAGTGCCTGTTGAAAAAAAAACCAAGATTAATATTTTTAAACCAACCAGCCCAGAGGTTAATTATAGGGTCGAATTATTTAATTATGAGTCCATTAAGCTATGGCTATCTTGCAAGCGCCATTAGAAATCCAAAGAAAAACGAGCATGCTCAGATTTTCATTGAATAGAGTTAAATTTTTGCCAGTTTTGTCGGCCAGTAGGTAGCTGATGCGACCCAGCTCTTCGGATATCTGGGTGGTTCTCACCACCGCCCCGTCTATGTACTTGTCCCTCTGGATGAACAGACAGTAGATCAATTTTGCCAGGTCCAGATTCACCCGCAAACTGAAAACATGATGATCAACAGACATCTGGAAAAGTGTACGCTCTAAAAAAATTTGAGGTAAAGTTACCTCAAGTCACTTAAGGTAAGTGGTTGTTAAGATAAAATTTACCTCAAGTCTACCTTAAAATTACCTAAGGTAAATCTTTACCTTAACAAATAAAGGTAACTTAAAGTAAGTTCAGGTAAGTTTTGCAAATTTTTTGGAAAAACTATTTCGGAGGTGTTTGATGAGATCAAGGAAATAAAAAGACGTGTTTCAACACCAACCAGCCCTGTTTGACATCAATTCAAGGAAAATGTGAGTCATACATATTCACAAACGACGCTATGAATCTTGTATGACTCGCATTTTTTCAAAATTACTGTTTTCTTTGACAACAAAAAAAGTTTAGAAACTAAAGCTGAGGATGTTCAAAGATGGTACCCTGAATGTTTTGCGTAGAAAAATTTTTGAGGACGGAAAGAACAAGAAAAATGATGTCACATTTTTTGGTAAAACTTGTTAGTCTTACTCATACAATTTCTTACTATAAAAGTTGCGTTAAAAGTATACAATGAAAATTTTGTGACAAATTTGGGGAAACAAATTTTTAAGTTTTGTTTTTAGTCGCTAAAACAGTTATAGGCGCAAACAAACAAAAATCGAAAAAAAAATGCAGGCAAAATTGGATTTTTTTCTCTATAACGTAATCCAGATCGTTCAATTCTTTCCGTACAAAAAAATAAAACGCAGAATGGATTTGTTTTGCGTGAAACCAGATTTCTTTTTTTGTTTTCACATCGTAACAAAAACCTAAAGTCTGTCAGTTTTTCGAAAAAGAAGTTTTTTAGCCCTACTCAAAAAGTTACAGTATTTTTTTGTGTGAAATTACAATATGAATTTACATTATATATTAATTTGGGAGTTGAGTTTTGACACTCAATATATTGATTTTCTCATATAAGAGAAGCTTTGAATACTGAACACAACGCTAAACACAAAAGTTTAAGGCAAAACTGAAAAAAAATTTTGAAGTTTCACATAAGGACAAAATGCAAGTCACACAATTTCAAGCAACAGAACAATGCCAGTCATGCAATTTCAGACAATTTTTCATGTGTGAAATGCTAGCTTCACAACTGTGAAATTGTGTAGCTAGCGTTGCTTATCAACCCAATCCAGGTAGTTTTTTTGATAATGGTTCGGATGCCAGAGACAAGCTGAAAGCTATAACCAAATACTTAGCCAAGCTAGTCTTGAAGGCTACGGTCGTTTTCTTTCAGCTGTACAAATTATCAGAAATTTTAGTAATGGATCATGCTTGGTTAGATCTTACTTTTTTATAGTGATAAATATCAAAGTAAACAACAATTACTTGTTAGAACTGATTCCAGTACGCTTCGGTTGACTCTGGACTCAATAGAGTTAGTGAGCGAGCTAATTTTTTTCTCTGGTATGAATTCGAGTATAGCTTGACCTTTAAATACGATTTTTGGATCTTGTTAACTATTTCCCCACCCATATCGAATTTCAGAAATCAATTTTGGCGGCCACATTTTTAATAGCTTAAAACAATTTTCAGAAATATTTTTTATTTAAAATTTTTTACGTGGGTATTATATAAGTAGTGAGCAATACAAATAAGAACGCGCGACATTGAAAAACCCACTTATTTGTTGACATTTTTGAAATGCACATTTTATGCAGAAACGGTTGTCAAAAATATTACATGCACAGGGGGGGGGGGGGATAGTTAACAAGGTCCAAGAAGTGGGAAGATAGTTAACAAGACCCCGATTTTTTTCCGAACAATTTTCAATTTTTGAGTTTCATTTGTACAACAAGTACAACAATTTTTTTTTAAAATCAATTTTAAAAACATACTGACACGACACTTTGGAAAAACAACCTGTGGAAAATTAACTTTGGAACAACAACCATACAAAAAAAAATAGAATTCAATCATGCTTTTCAAAACTTTTGCTACAAGAGAGCATAATTAATTGTGTCCTCTCAGCAGAAAAAAAGATTTAATGTCCAAGTTGAAAAATCAAAAATCAATCAGCCAAAGTTAAGAAGTGGAGTTTTGTTCAAAAGCACTAAGTTTTAAGACTGCAATTCAATTTGGATTGCAAATCTTGCAAAATTTTTTCATGATTTTGCATTCATTCAACCATTCAGAATCTTTCTGATAATCTGTTTTTTACTCCAAAAAACGTCATCAAGAATGTGTAATTACTATACAATTTAATAATGGGTAAGAAATTTACAGTTACTCACACGAACAAAATTTTTTAAATTCTGACTTTAATCTCTCTTTTTTGATAAACTTCCAAAAACCTGAAAATTACCTTGAAAAATCTTTCAAGCTTCTTGTTAACCTTTTTTTTGCGTGATTTTTTTTCCGACAATCTTTGGTGTTGGAATTTGCTATTCATTTGCTAGAGATTTGCAAAAAAGTAAAGAAAGCATTTTTAACTCATTTATTTCAAAAAGAATATAAATTATGTTTTTAGTAGAGTGCTAGGCCCTGTATTTATTTCTTTAAATGTGTAGCAAATCTTATAAGATTTTAGCAAGAAAGTTACAAATCATAATAAAATCTTGCAAGAAATCGGAAGGATGAAGCGTTCCTCCGTGAAGTTTCTTGCAAGAGTTTTGCAACATTTGCTTTTCAAGAACATTAAAGATGACCTCTTTGCTGAGGCAGCTCAAGTGCTTTCAACCCATAACAAAGCAGATTGTTTTCAATTCCTAAAGAATCGATAGGAAATGTTTTGTCGATACAAAGCTTTTGCTTTCTATGAAACTTGAAAGAAAAAGTGTTGGTTTTCAGAGGAAAATAGTTAGATCCTATACCTGATGGGGATGATTGCTGAGAGTAGAATCATGAAGCGCACAAACATCACCATCCACTGTCCCTTGAAACCCTGCAATCAACCATCCAACTTATAAACTCATCCTTTTCGATTTCTTAGAACGAACTAGGATAAATTTAATTGTTCAAATTGTTTCAGTGTCATTCAATATAATTTCGCCACATAGTGTTTGTTGATAGATCGTTGTATGTCATTCTATCCATTCAAAAGGAATCGCTTGCGCTCAAAATTTCATGGCGCTTGAAAATTTATGGGTTGCCAATTAACTCAAAAACTGACCCACCTTTTGATGGTGTTTCAATTTGGTTATTTTAAACCATTCAAAACTATTTGTATATTAAGTTTATATTGGATGAAACCAAGTTTTGTACTGAGTAACTTAAATTTAAGTATGTTTTTTAACGTCTAAAACAGGTCAAACGCTTTTTTCAGTCTAGAAAACATTTTTTTTGTTTTAAGAACTCAAAAGAGACTAAGTTTTTGTTTTTCTCACATGATTTCTGTTTTTTACCCAGTTTTTTTTTACCCTGACCTGCAGTATCATGAGTACAAATGCAAGTGACACCAGAATAAGCCCCAGTATCTTCGTGTTTCTACCCTTACCTGCAGTATCATGAGTACAAATGCGAGTGACACCAGAAGAAGCCCCAGTATCTTCGTGTTTCTACCCTTACCTGCAGTATCATGAGTACAAATGCGAGTGACACCAGAATAAGCCCCAGTATCTTCGTGTTTCTACCTTACCTACAGTATCATGAGTACAAATGCAAGTGACACCAGAAGAAGCCCCAGTATCTTCGTGTTTCTACCCTTACCTGCAGTATCATGAGTACAAATGCGAGTGACACCAGAATAAGCCCCAGTATCTTCGTGTTTCTACCCTTACCTGCAGTATCATGAGTACAAATGCGAGTGACACCTGAAGAAGTCCCAGTATCTTCGTGTTTCTACCCTTAACTGCAGTATCATGAGTACAAATGCGAGTGACACCAGAATAAGCCCCAGTATCTTCGTGTTTCTAACCTTACCTGCAGTATCATGAGTACAAATGCGAGTGACACCAGAATAAGCCCCAGTATCTTCGTGTTTCTACCCTTACCTGCAGTATCATGAGTACAAATGCGAGTGACACCAGAAGAAGCCCCAGTATCTTCGTGTTTCTACCCTTACCTGCAGTATCATGAGTACAAATGCGAGTGACACCAGAAGAAGCCCCAGTATCTTCGTGTTTCTACCCTTACCTGCAGTATCATGAGTACAAATGCGAGTGACACCAGAATAAGCCCCAGTATCTTCGTGTTTCTACCCTTACCTGCAGTATCATGAGTACAAATGCGAGTGACACCAGAAGAAGCCCCAGTATCTTCGTGTTTCTACCCTTACCTGCAGTATCATGAGTACAAATGCGAGTGACACCAGAAGAAGCCCCATTATCTTCGTGTTTCTACCCTTACCTGCAGTATCATGAGTACAAATGCGAGTGACACCAGAAGAAGCCCCAGTATCTTCGTGTTTCTATCCTTATCTGCAGTATCATGAGTACAAATGCGAGTGACACCAGAATAAGCCCCAGTATCTTCGTGTTTCTACCCTTACCTGCAGTATCATGAGTACAAATGCGAGTGACACCAGAAGAAGCCCGAGTATCTTCGTGAGGAAGTTGACTTCGCTGTCCAGTAGGCCAAACTTGTTCTTGGGCTTAGTTGTGTTCATCACACTTCTCGTGTCTGTCCCAGTGTAGATCACAACACCAACTAAAACAATTTTAAAAATAATTGAACCTGTTGCTGTGAAAACTATTATTAAGTTTGGTCGGTGTGAAAAAATAATTAGGTGTGCCCCTGCCATATCTAGTTGCAAATGAAAAAAAATAAAGGCATGGAAGTTTCTCCTTTTCAATAGATAGTTTGATTAATCAATTAAGCATTAGTCGTAGAAAAACGTTAAAAATGTTCACTAATTTTTTAGGAGGAAAATAAAAAACTAAGACCTAGGAAAAAAGTATGAATAGCTTTGGCAATTTTAAAAAAAGAACATAAAATCAGGCTGCATTTATCTGCGACAAGAGCTGATTTCTCATCTCTGCTGTAAACTCGTCTTAAACTCGAAAAGAGTGAACGGAATAAAGGCCGCAAGAACTGTTAAAATATGTCCAACTTGGTTTCTTTAGCTTTTGCTAAGGGGTTTTCAGCAAAGCTCAAAAACTCACTCTAAGCCATAGTTTTGCATAGCAAAAAAACTCAATGGTTTTTATGTTTTCTTTCCTATAAGCCAAAGCTTCATTTTGATAACAAATTTGAATTTTTTTTTGTTTTTGTCATTAAAACCGCCTGTTAAAGAAAACAGTTTGAGTTGTCGCGTCACTTTCTTAGCGCAAAACACATCATCTCCGCTGCCAAAATAGCTAAAACCGCGGCAAATTTTTGATCATTTTGTTTAATTGATGCTAGTTGGGCTTGAGTTGTCTCACGCTAGAAAGAAAGACTATATTAACGAGCCGAATTATATTGATTGCATGGCCTTAGTGTGTCCAGAGACACAATTTGTTCGGCAGTGTTTTACAAAACATCTTGCTTTCTAACCGGGTTGAGTTCCCAGTATTAATCATCGATGAAAAATTGTTAGTCCATTTTTTATAACTTTTTCATGGACGTTTCCGTATTATGCCATAGATCAATGTATTAGCCAAGATTTATTGAAGAACTTAGATGAAAAGCAATAATTTATCGATGATTTAGCTCTACGCTACCGCAAATTCAACGCTGCGAAGTTAACGCTACCGCAAATTTAGCAATAAAAAATTGCTAATTAATCATTAAAAATCATCGCTAATTATTAAAACGGAGGGGGGGGGGGGTTCAACTGCTGTGGTAAGCGGCGAGGGGGAAATTTTCAGTTTTTCTAACTCGGTAATTAACTGCTGAAAAATCATCGCTAATTCAGCGCTAATTCATTGCTATTTCATCACTAAAGTTTTCGGATTATCAAGCTCTGAATATGTGCTAATTTAGTACAGAAATTTGCTAATTGGGTAAGTTTTTATCGCTCTTTCTTTGATGACGATTACTGATTTACTAATTTCGATGGTTAAACTGCAATGGTTATTGCAGACCAAAACTTTGAAAATTTAAGACCAAACTCTCAAAGAAGTGCAAAAGCACGCAACAAATTTTTTTAACCCCATTGAACATAACTGCAATTCATGAAACTATCCCAATAATTACAACTTTATCATCTTGTTTCAGAACTTCTTCTGTTTGAAACACTTGGCAATTATTTTATCTTGCATTTCAATAAAAATGACTTGCGATAACGAGCAACTCAATTTTTTTACGCATTGTGCAGATAACTTGAAACGTTTTAATTTATTTCGAGTTGAAGCAGAGTTGAAGAGTTGCCAAATGTAAAACCTTATCTTTAGACAGGTGGAAAAATGTCAATGAACGCCCCGAAAGTTGAAAAAAAAACATTACCTGTTTTGTTTAAAAAAAAACGGCAGAAGTTTAATTTAGAGAACCATCAATGGCTTTCAAAAGTTTGAGCCATTTTGATAAAGTCAACCAAATTTCAGAAAACAGGAACAAAAAATGGGAAATTTAAAAATGAAAACTACGAAACTAGAACTAGTTCATGTTTTTTGCGCCATTTCTGCTTTCGTAAATGGAAAGGGCAACTTTTCTATGTTTTAGCGCATGAGTTTGAAGTGAACTCAAAAAAGTTTATAAATTTCTTACAAAAATTGATACGAACGAACTTACTTCTGTATTTGTAGAGTGCTAAAAATATCACCACGACCTAATTAGGTGTCTTCACTACATTCATTTGACGCTTACATTACGATGTCAAATTGTGCACTGAGAAGGCGAACAATTTTTTGTTTGTATATTCCTGTATTCCGGAGACAAAATTGTACACTTGTTCCGAATTGTAAAGGGTTTCCAATTACAACATTTCCGTGGACCCTTGTGCAAACACCTTTAATGTAAATTTTGTGAGCCCATTTGATTTATTAATTCAGCAATATTTACCTTGAAATAGTTAACCTCAGTTTGTTTTCATTCTTTCAGTATTTGAAATTGGAAAAAAGTTCTTTTTTCAGTATTTGAGATCAGAAAAGTGTTTTTTTTTCTGTATTTGAGATAGGAAAGTTAGTCATTCTTTCAGTATCTGGGATCGAAAGTGTTTTTCTTCAGTATTTGAGATCGGAAAGGTGTTTTTTCCCCAGTAATTCAGATTAGACTGAAGACCCTTCAAAAAAATTTTAAATTAAAATTGTAATTTGAAGACGTAACAATTTGCGTTACTTGAATCCCCAAACACAGTGCGGATTCTACTTACAAGTTGCGGATTGCGCATACAATTTGCGGATTCCACTTACAGTTGCAGATTCGGCAACAGCTCAATTTCACTATACCTATATTTTATCAGCTGTTTGCGGATTCCACAAGCTGTTCCAAATTTCACAAATACGGTTGCGGATTCCGCATATTTGCTTAATTTTGGAGCAATTTTGAGCGTTACAGTGTTTTAGCGATTAATTGTGGAACCCCCCAAAACAGTAACGAAGATCAGAGAAACGTGGCAACGTGGCGGATTCTGCGACAGATCGGATTTTGGCTTGTTGCAGAATCCGTTTACAATTCACAAAAATCACAGTTTGGCCTCGTAATGTAGTGATTTTTGTGTGCCTATAGTCCGAGTTAAATACAGCTTATGTCAATTTTACCGTGCTTGTTATCAAACTTCGTTTGAACGAGATGGAACATTCGTTCAATGAGCGAGTGACAGAGTCAAAAGTGTTGCTTGCATTTAGATTTTTTAGCAGCCTTGCTGGTTCAAAAAAATTCCGAGAGCAAAAAAAAATTTGCGGTTGCTCAAACAAAAAGAAATTGAACTATTCCGCAATCGTAATTACAACTGAGAGGACTTCAAAATTGTAGCAACTAAAATCTGATGCGAGATTTTTTTTATGGATGTAATTATCAGGCAAAAAAATATCTTGCTTGGGTCAAGAACGGTCGAGCACATTGTTTTCGATCGAGACACTCGAAACATATCTCGCCTGGGTTGAGCACGTGCCCGGGTTATATTGTCCCCGGGGTATGGCATCGACCTTGGTTATACGGTCTCTTTCATTTTCAAAATAAACCTAATGAATGAATTAGGTTAGGCTTAATCAATTAATTACGTACCTGCAGTACCACTAGCGACCACGGTGTCTTTCCAGAGAGTGTTCTCGACGTTGAGCGATATTTCCTGTTTGCCTCCGGATCCATTCACCACCAAGTTGCCAATGAAGGTGTTGATGTCCAAGTGTGGTTTGTCGCAATACACATATGCATGGGTTGTAAGAAGTTCCTGAACTCAAAACCATTTGCAGTACAGCGAAGCTTTTTCACAAATTTTCATGCTTACAACTGATTGATTTATGAATAAAATCACTTTCAACTCAAATTCTTCAATCGAGAGTTTCAAAAAAAATTTCAAGTTGTTTAGATTATGTTCCTCGTAATGTATTTATGCCCATCACAGCCTTTTGATGTATCATCGTTTACAAAAGCTGCTTTCGAAATCAAAATTTTCAGAAATCAAAAGGATCGAAATTGATTTTTTTATTCGAAGAAAAACAAAATAGTCTCATGAGAGGAAAAGATATGAAATCTTAGTGTTTGCCCGCCATTTAACTGTTCCATGTGGAGGGCTGTTAGCTACGGTAAGCTCTCTGATACGGGCAATAAATCACTAAATCCTTAGCGAGTAAACTTTCAAATTACATCTAGCTTAAAAACAAAAAACTGATTATTAATCAACCTTAAACGGAATTTCAGCTATTTTTTTCACTCTGAAGCCCTTATAGTCGTGAATCGAATTATGAAAATTGAGAAAAAATTTTTAAAAAATACAGACATAAGAAAAATACCTTCTGCTCTACTTGTACAGCATAGCTCTTGGGCATTTGGATCTCTTTAACTTCCTTCCACCCTATGCTACCTAGTAACGACTCTCCACCCCTCCCCCACCCCCCTATAAAAAAAATCAACTGTTAAGCATATATGAAATTCTCAACTTAGTAACGAATTTCCCTCCTTTTGCAAAAGGGGGAAAATAGTTAAAGAGATCCGGCCATTTTTGTTTCTTTTTGCTCTATCTTTCACGCATACCTGGCGTGAGGCCATGTTCTGGGTGGGGGAGGGGGCCATTCTGAGCTTCCAGTCTGTCTCCCCGTCCAACTGGTCTGTGCGGACAAAGAGGGACCCGTTCGTCTCGCTGGATCTCAGCAGAACCATGTCAGCCGGCACTCTTTCGTTCTTCTCAACTTGGATCACATCCGATACCTGAAGACCGGTCGCTACTTTCCGTTATTTATGCAGAAGAAAAGTCAAGAAATCCTAGTGGAACCAGATCTAAACTAGTATTTATCATTGGTTACTATTGTTACTTTGTCTTGAAGTATACTTTTTGTAGAGGTCCATTACTTGCTTTTTGAACTTTAACATGAGTTATTTGATTCGTAAGTTTGGGCAAAGTGGTTCGCTTATTTTTCGAAAAGTATTCGTATAATGGGACTGCAATGTATGACATAAATATATTTATTACCTTTGAAAACATAAGTAACAGAAAGTTGGAAAAACAAATTAATGAGCTTAAAAAACGAAAAAAAAGTGTTACAATTTTTGACTGACATAAAAATAAATATCACTGTAAAGCTCATTCAATTTTAAGTTGTTTATTGCTCACCTTTTTCCAAAGATGACCGAAATTACAAAAAATGAATTAATGTATACATTTTTATTCCGCGGACAAATGAAAAAATGAAAGCTTTAATCAAACTTTTAACACTTCCGGTAATTATATATTAGTCGTATTTTTTTGAATGTTTCTTTGCTCGGACTTTACGTGCGATAAAAAAGGAGAATTCTTCCTTTCGCACTTACTTTGATGTCTTTGCACTTGACCTGGCTGTATCCCGTGTGACTTTGTGTGACCTTGAGATAGAGTGCATTGTTGATATCCTTGTCTCGCACCCACCTTCGGATATCGTCTGCAGCCTCCCGCAGAAGAGTCACGAACAGCACGAAGCCCTGCCAAAGATGACGTGAGTAAAGAAAAAGAGTTCCATTGCTTTTTGACACGAAAATGGGTTACTCTCAATTTTGATGAAGGAATGGCATTTTTTGTTTTTGTAAAATTTCAACGAAATTTCTTACAATTTTCTAAATGTTAGTTTTTGTTACTTTTACGATTGTCCAAGTCTTTCGGCATCAGATTTTTCTCAGAATTTGTTTATTTAACAAGGCGTTTCATAGGTTTCTGCCGAGATGAAACTCGAAATTGAATCACAAAATATTTGTTGATACTGTAACAAATCATTCTCATCAAGGAAATCTATTACTAAACATCAACGAACCCCATTCCTTTCGATAACTTGTTTTTTTTCGCATTTGAGTTTTGTTTGGTATTCAGTTACCAACAATTTGTTAATCGATTCCCCTTCGAGTGTTAAACACAAACTTAACTTTATCTTATCTATGCATTACTTATTCACTCGAGAGAAACATCAAAAGGAATGACGATACCTTTGATTGTAAACATACCGATTTGAAAAATAAACTATTATGATTATATTATTGTAGTTATTATGATTATTATTTCAATTATGATTTTAAACAGAGAGAAGAACGTCCGTGAGATGATTATTACAGGATTTGAAAGTGAATTATTTATGCCGATTATGTTATTGTAGTTTATAATGATAATTAATTCAATTATGATTATAAGTTGTTTTTGATGGTACTATAACAATGTGTTGCTCACCAGGGGGGCCCAGTAGGTGAAGATGTAGTTGACCTGAAGGATGGGGATGAATTGGGTGATTGCGATGATGAGGAAATAGAGGTTGAGGAAGTACTTGAACTGGTGGAACAAAGTCTACACAAAACAACAAACAAACAAACAAACAAACAAACAAACAATTATTTCAATTTAAAAAAAAGTGACAGTTTTTGTATATTCTACAGCTGAAATCTTTTTACAAAAGTTTGGAAAAAAATCAATTTTTTTTATTTTACTGTAGATTTTATCAATTTTGGCTTGTTTAGCGCCTTGAGTAGCTACCTCAAATAGATTTCAAGGATTTAAGAGCAAATTGCTGGTTTGTGAAAATTTAAGACTGGCATTTAATTTATTTTCCTAACAATATCAATAAGGTCCACTCTTACGCATGGAATGAATGAGATGATGGAGTACTTCTGGTTTCTGATTTTGTTTTTTGGGTAATTTGGGCCGGACTGGTCCGGCTTGCCCAAAATGACAACCCTCGTCTTCTTGGGTTTGGGTGGACACAAACGTCGGCACTGATTGCGGAAACCTCTAAAGTTTTCAGATATTTCATCAATCAATTTAAAACTTAGCTTAAAAAGACAGCTCGTATCAATCCAAAACTCGGAAGGTTTCGAGAGCATTTAATTAGTTTCAGATGGTTTTGAATAAAAAAATTGTGTTTTTCTTTCCTTTTAAGTGGGACGATAATCTGCCTCGACAATAATTATTAGTGTTTGACCACAAAATGTACGTAGAAAAAGAAGCCAATGGGACCAATCATGAAGAACTAGGGCTATTATTGTTTTGTTTATAGCCAAACATAGCTGTAACGAAAACCAAAAAGCCAAGTAGTAATACAAAAAAAGCATAGAATGAAATCTCTCGGGCTCAAAAGAAATCGTTCCAACCCTGACAGAGTAAAAGAGTTGCACGAAATCGGATACCCCTCCCACCAAATAGAAACTGAGAGTGCTAACTTCGTGAAACTCACGGAACGGATAACAGAGCTGATTCAACACGGGTTTGCAAAAACCCAGACCCCTGCGACCTAATTCCTCTGTCTCGTCTGCTTAAGTGATAACGCTTGCCAGTAGTTCATTTTGCCAAATTAGAACTTAGGAATCAAACCTCAGTATGTATTAAACCCAGTTGAGGGAGTTTTAAGTTTAGAACTCCAGAACCCTGGGCCCTATTTTTGGTTCTATGACCTACATCGATGAACCCTATTCCTGAGACCTCTTCTCGGGGCTCACTTGAATGGATGGAGCCAAAAATTTGGATGAAAAAGGGGCTCTTTTCCAGTTTCCCCCCTCCTTTGATATTTTCTGAAATTCAATATATGAAAGTCTATTTAAAATGACTTTTCATATTATGAACTGCAGTTAAACGTGTCAGCGTGAACAGGTGAACAAATTTTAGCATTTATAACATGCACAAGGCTGTGTGAACAATTTTTGAACAGTTTTATCTTGTAACTTTTCGAGGGAGGTGGGAAACTGGAAAAGAGCCGGAAAAGGTAGTGGCAAAATATACGTTATGCGTTTGAAGTTCAACTAAAATCAACAGTTGAACGGAAAACTGTTGGCAATTGAGAAAAAGTACTCCATTAGATTAAAATTTAAAAAAAAAAAATGCAATTTACGCATATTTAAGAACAAGGGCATTTTGATCTTGTAGCGGCAATCAATTGTAAATCAGACACCAACTCCAAAAAAAACCAGAGAAAAAGCCCAGCAGTGACTCCTTTTGGTCCAAATCACCATTCCCGAAAACGCGTTGATAAACTTTAAACATGGGTTAAGTTGAAAACTATTGATTAGACGTGTGTGATACTTGGTAAGTTCGAGATATCTCGAAAAATTAAATGTCGTTCTTCTGGCTGTCAATGTATTTTTTGTGAAGTTGGTCTGATTTATAAAACATACTTAGTTAACATTTTCCTCCTTTTCTTGAAAAACGGAGTTAAAACGTACTAGGATTTATTTGATGTTGATGGAAATTTTTATTTCAAAAAAATTTCATATAGGACTCGATTTCATCGTGTTCTTATTTTTACCGGTTTGGAAAATGAATACAAGATTTTTTATAAGACAGTCTAGCTATGCGTGATTTTTTTTCTAATTCCCTAATTTAAACATTTTTAACGAGTCCCTTAATCAATTTTGATATACTTCCTTTAATTGTACCACGCCGGCAATATGACATGTTGTTGCGGTTTTTCTCAAAATGTCTACATGCAGCAGTTCTTGAAAGCACCTCAGAAATTAGTCTAGCTGGGGGCAAGTCTTTGGTGACTTTTAAGTTGTGCAGTGTTTACGGCAAAACGCCATCAGACAACCCAAAAACATATCTCATCTTTCGTATATCAATGTTTCAGGTAAGTTATAAAATCCCCATTTCAATTTAGATGGGATACAATTCCTTCACGGATTTTACCAAAAGTTTTGCCCAAAAACCCAAGCTTAAACTAGCTCAAACAAACTTGCTCCGAAAAAATTTCAGCTAACGTTAAAATTCAAAAAACAAGTCAGTTGTTTTTCCATTTCCACGCTTTGAAGAATTGTTCCCAAAGGTCTGTTGGCAGACTTGTTTTTTGAAATTTTTTTTTTTGAATTTCAAAAAAAAGTATATATGACCGTAAAGCTCGTTGAATTTCAAGATCACTTTAACATGGCAATTTTTTCGGTGACAGTTTTACATAACCCAATTCGGGTGAACTGGAGAATAGGTCAGTTTTTTATTCCGCTGAGAAATCTGAAACAATAAGTCCACTTTCGAAACTAGAAGTCGATAACGTTTTTCGTGACCTTTGTACTTTTGCTGTTCTTAGAGGAGTTTGCATTGCTTTCAACAAAAAAATGAAATAAATTTTGAGAAAAATCAAAAATCAAGCCGCAAAAAACTCAAATTTGAACCTCAACAACTAAAAAACTTGTCCTTGAAAAAAAACTCACAAAAAATTACCAAGACTTTAAAAGAGTTTTAACTACGTTCAAGAGTCTCAAAAAACTTGTCAGTGTATATATATATATATACCTGGCAATAATGTAGCAGCAATCGCAGTTGAGGAGGTATAGAGACCCCCACTTATCAGTTGAAAAATCAAAATTAAACCAGAAAATTTTTGGTGCGAATTGTCTAAAGTTATGAAAAAAACGCGTGCAGTACTATGAGAAGTACAAAATTGTTAAAGTTCAAGAGTGACTTAGCACAATAACTGCTTCAGAACGGTTTATTCAGCTTAGTTTTAGAAGATTTATTATCGAATTTGCTCGAGTCTTTGAACAAAAAATTGTATAAATTTCGTTAACTGCTGAAGAATTGCTTACGCTCAAACATTTAGAAAACAGATTTGAAGAAAAGCGTGTTTGTATTTAATGATGCTACTTGGAATTTGCTTGCAATTGCGACTGGAATTTATTTTTTATGATTTTAACATGGTTTCAGAACTTTTTTATTAAGAAAACAGATGGCATAAATAATTGTTTTCAACTGCTGGCATGATTTTTTGTAGCATGTTTGAAAACATTCCGATAAAAAAATTGCAGCTAAAAAATCATCAAAAAAAATATTCAGATCAAAATACTCAATGAACAAAAATCAGCTAGACTGTGTGGATCATGAAAAACCTTGAATGTTTGACTGCCCGGTAATATATATAGAGTAGTTTCAAAGGTCAATAAAATTTTCAAAAAGTTTAAAGCGTTCTTAAAATGCCATCATTTTTTTGTTGAAAAACATCTTTACCCAGACAAGTAAAAAAAAATTTTGGCTCTTTTCCAGTCCCCCCTTTCAAACTCAATTATGAAAAGCTTATTTAACGTTGACGTAATGCAATGAAATTTTTCGTGGTGAACAAATCGACAACTGTGAATTTTAAATAAGTTTTCATAATTTAAATTTCCGAAAAAAGAGAAGGGGAAACTTGAAAAAAAGAGCCCAAGACTCTATTGCTCTTTTGAAATCAAACTATTACAATTTTAAAACTTTAACAAACCCCCTCCTCACTTTTCAGTTTTGGAAAACTGCTTTAACTTTGTCATAATGCAATCACACTTGGCAAAGTGAAGAAGCTAACAATTGTTAACAGATTTGTTCTTTTTACCATAAATCGTATCCTTACGCATTCAGCCATAATAACAGGTAAAACAGCTGAACAGCTTTTTGAATGTCCTTGGTGTTATTGAGATGTAAATGAAAATATGGTTTTTTTCCAGTCCCCCCCTTGATATTTTCTGAAATTCAAAATATGAAAGACTGTTAATAATGACTATTCATGTTATAAACTGCGTTAAAACATGTCAGCGTGAACAGGTGAACAAATTTGTACAGCATTTTATTATGCAAAACGTCGTCTGAACCATTTTTGAACAGGTCTTTTCTGTAATTTTACGAGGGGATGGGAAACTGGAAAAGAGCCGAAAACATATATCTTTTCACATATTTTCTTATATCACCGAAATGAATACAAGTACTATTAAAATAGTAAAATTGAGAGGTGGGGGGGGGGGGAAGAGTCGTGTAGTGTATATACACCTGGCGATAATGTTGCAGCATTCGCAATTGAGGAGGTATAGAGACCCCCTCTTGCAGCAGTTGTCTCTGATCTCCCCCTCTCTGTCCACCAAACTCGCCCTCTCTCCGTAATAGTCCCCCATACCCTGATAGGCGATTCACACGAACCACGTTTTTGTCTCGGACAAACTGAATAATTGATAATAATTGACGATGAAGACAGTTTATAATTGTCGTTACTGGATAAGCGATTAAAATTTGGCTCTTTTCCTGTATGGTAAACAAACTAACTATTGTGAACAATTTTGTTCTGCATACGCATTCAGCCATAATAACACGTAAGACAACTGAAAAAAAAAATGAATATTTGAAATGGGGGGGGGGGGGTGAAAAAGAGCCGAATTCAAAATCAACAAAATGATTGACAAAGTATAAAGACAACTTCAGGGATTCTGCGCTTCCAAAATAAAATATTGAAGTTTGAGTAATTTTCTAGTACAGTAACTTAAGTTCTAACTTCTGCTTTAAAACCACAGCCACACCTTGTTTTTCTGTGAAGTTGAGAAGCACCTGTAATTGAATGAGTCAGAATAGGAGTTTGACTTAGAGCATGGCTTTGGTTGAGATCTTGACAGAAGTCAAGTTGTCCAAATTAGCACGCTCTATTTATTGATATTTCGTTTTTTATATAATGAAAACAAGCATCAAAAGAGTTTACCTTTAAAAATCTGCTCAAAAAGGAAGAGAATCTATCAAAATCAGAAAATTTAACTACACTAAATTTGACTCTTACAGCAATTTCTCTACCACAAATTTGACTTTGCGCCCCGGGTCAAGGTCCGCGACTAATTTTTCGACTTTATCGGCCGAAAATCTATATGCTGAACAGGCTTTCTAACATTCTTTTCAATTTAAAACAATCGAGTAATTAAAATGAGGTTCACTCGGAAAAAAGCAGGGCTCTTTTTCCCTTTCCCCCCACCTCAGACGAGCTTCAATTTTTTAGTGTAACGAGTGGTTTTACGAGGTTGATTATGAAGACCAAATATGTTTGTCATGGCCTAATTATTCTATATGTCAATTTTTATAACAATCAGACAATGTGGTCAACAAACTTACTTGTAAAAATTTGCAGGTGGGGGGGAAAGGAAAAAGAGCCAAAAGCAGGACTAAAATAGAGCCAAAAAATTGATGTTTTTGCATCACTGTGGAAAGCTTACATTTCTGGCTTTTTCCACTCCCAAATTCTCACTGTTTATTTTTTTTCTAGTTGTTTTGCTTGTTATTATAGCTATCTGCGTGATGTTAAGATGCCAGGTAATAACAGCAAATCTGTTCAAAATTGTTAATTTGCTCACAATGCCAAGTTTCTTGGAATTATAATCGTGACAAAATGGTGTAAACTGGGCTTGCACATACTTTTTCTCTGTTAAGAGTATACCAAGAAAAACGTGTTTCTATTCTGAGCTGATCGGACACTCGGTAAAAAATTTATTTCAAAACTATCGCTTTTTTGATAATAGAAATTGGTAGCATTAACAATTATCATCTCTCGATAACAAAATCAACAAACTGTTAATCGACTTTTTTATGCAACTAAGACAAAAAACGTAACCGTCCGCATAATCAATTGACTTTTCTCAACAACCGCCAGGTTATTCTTGACAGTAAAGATCGAGAACAGGCGAGAGCTTATCGATCGGTCGCGTAAGTTCTCGTTCGTGTAATTCGTTACGGTTATGGAGCGTGAAATTCTTTGACTTTACTCTTGATAAAGCGTAGTGGCCTCTAGGGCTTCCCTCGTCTACTATCCAGACTAGAAGTAGCTTGCCTTGGGTGCGTCCCTCATGCTTGAAGGACCGAATGCTTGAAATTAATTTTAGCTTCCTTTGAGCCAATCAGAATTGAGTATTCAAAATCTCAAAGTAAATCGCGAAAATCACAAAGTAAGAAAATAAATCCAGGCAATTAAGGTTAATACTGACCGATTAGATAATAAGCAGATGAGTTGGAAATAAATTGAATTTGTTCTAATCAAAACATGTGTTTTAGTTGGTTTACAACATCGAGAAATTAGAATCTATAGTCAACTCTTGATTAAGACGATAGAGGAGACATTTTTGCCGAATTTTTCCCACAACATCTGAGTTCGGTTTAAAAGACCAGTTGGTAGTCCTTAAGACATAGGAAAAAATCCACTTACAGACTCCGAGGACATCGGCGGATTTTCCTTGAGTGCCTGTGTCAGCAGTTCTGTCTCCGCTGCGAACGTGATACCACTGAACAAACTTCTGCAACTCTATTGGCAACAAATTTTACTTGAAAATCTGTTGAGTCAAGTCATTTGTGCTGTCTGTGTACGTGAAGTCTCCAATACGGGAAATGTCACTGCCTTACAGATATCAACTCTGAGACGGGCCGCGAGTAGTGCATGGGAACACTCGAGCTCTTTTAGAGATACAAATAAAACTTCTGTTTCTGGAGAATCCTTGATTCTTCCACGCAGAAAAACCACAGCTCGGAAGACCAGCTTTGAGCTGTCTCCGAACAAGTACAACTCAGCGCGATCAACTGGACTAATAAAACAAGTACAAAGGATTGTCATCTGCTCCAATTTAGGCAAATAAGAAAGCCATACAAAAGTTTTTTCCTCGATGTCATCAGGGAGGACTCGCCATTTAGCCTCTAGAAAACGCACATGCTTGGGTGCAAACAAACCCATCGGATCGGAAACCGATAAAACGAAACTATGAACGGTGTACTGAGTTACCAAACTGCTTCGTTCGCGATTGACAAACCGACTAAAAACTATAGTGTTTTTCTTGGTCGTCCCACTTTGGAACCAACACGTGTCGACTGATCGGGCCATTCAAACTTTTTCAAACTACCTGCGACGATTGAATTTTCGGCGTTGTTAATTCCGCTACTATCTTCTTTAGGCTGCTTACAAATTTCGTTAACTTAAAACCTCCTAAAATTAATAAGCTAATCAGAAACACACTTAACTTAGACTTATCGCCAGGGTATTCCAAAAACTTCAGACAGACTTCCATAATAAGTTTATGAAAGACAGCAGAAGCTAGATCAGAAACTTCGCCTGATTTTCACTGGCAGTTCGGTGAAATGCAGAGTTTGCGCAATTAGCTAAGTCTCTCGCGCCAAATATGTTTCGTGTGTTTTGACATATAATGAGGTGTTCTTCATAGAGCAGGCTCCGCTGATAGAGCATGCTAATGCTGTCTGAAACATAGCAGAACATAAACGAGTTGTTGAATTAGGTCGAGAACCACTAGCAGCGAGTTATTAAGTGAAGTTCCATGAAATTTTGATGCTTTATTCAGAGTGCAATTCTCCTCGATTGTTTGGCTTGAGAACCGGGTGATGCTGCAAAATAACTTGCAAAGGGTATGATTATGCAGGTCAAGAGGCGGAATGGTGATGATGTAACCTTTGTCGAGGTCATTTTTTATGGTGCTAGAGTACTACTGTTGCGTTGCTGATTATCTTTATGCTTAAATTTAACTAAATGCCGGCTCGACATCAGCGGCGAACGTTTTCTTCTGTGACCTGAGATTGGGCTGAAGCGCTATCGCACAGTGTGAATGCGTTAAAACTATTCGATTCTGACGACGTTTGTAGACTTAGTATCAGTAGTAAGCCTGTGTGTTTTTCAATTGAGAGTTCTTAAATTAAAAACAGCATTGTTAGTGACATTTTTTGTTCATTGTAGCTTGCTTCACTACTAGTAAAAAAAAGTGAGGGGTTTGGCCAGACTGATGAGGTTGGATCCCAGACGTCTTTGCATTGAAGCCACTTGATGTGCAGTTTTCTTCAGAAACATTAAGCCGATATACTCAATTTGCTTCATGGAGCAAAACATTGTGAGTAGCCATAGAGCCGTAATATGGAAATTTATTGCCTTTTTTTGATTTTAACTTGCTGAGATGGCGTCTTTAGCTGGCTACCCTGCAATTTTAACTCGCTGAGTTGCCTTTTTTCCTGAAAGCGATGCATTTCCACAAAGCGTGGTTGCCTTTGCACATAATGGACGCAAGAAATTGAGACGTTTTGCTTTTTTCAGTGCTAGAAGCGAAATTTTTGGTCACCGTTTTTTTTTGCTTGGCCCATCTACTTCAGGCTAACAGTTAATAGTTCATAACTGCGAGTGTATTTCGGTTTTTTCTTTGAACCACTCATTAAAATTGATAAAATACGGACTAATCCAACTTCATTTTACCGCATTCATTGACCTTGATTCCTTCAATTTGGGTGGGAGCTAAGCATAGGTCTGGCTGAGCAAATAATTACCTTTTGACTCTTCTTCATAGGAAAAAGTCTCGGTTATCGATGCAACCCAATATACTGACTATAAAATACTTTGTCTTTCAATTTTCCTTTGAAAATTGTATCTTTCGAAATATTCAAATTTTTTTCATCGATTTTTAAATTTGCATGATATTGTCTATTTTTGCGCTTACAGTAAGAATTAGCTTTTCTTCGTCCTTAAGTCAAATAAAAACATCTCGAAGATCAGAGTCATATTATGATTTGAAACTATTGGAGCGATGCTTTGTTCACTGCATCGAATCGTTCACTGTATCGAACCAAACAGCTATGTCTCTACTTGATTCAAGCATAAGGTTAACATGATATTAAACGTTGTTTCTAGAGTTAAAGGAGTTGGAGTTTAAGCTGAGACCGTGGATTACGATAAGCGGTTGCAAAACACGCGACCCGGATTTCCAAATCAGCGAGGAATGAACCTGCTTGTTAAGAAAAAAAAATAGACAACTTGCTTGATTTGAGGCCATTGGGTTTTTTAAAGTATTTTTCAACAATGTTTAAATTTTTCCTGCCAATCAATGCGTGTTTTAGCGTTTTTCTACAAGTTGTGTAGTTTCTTGCAAAATCATTAGATTGCCTTAATTTAAAAAAAAAACAGTTGGGTTTCAGAACAAAAATATCCATCGATTTCAATTTGTGATGTGCGTTTTTTTTAGTATTTTTTTTGTAATTGGTTGCAACATTTATTTTAACCTTTACTTTAGTTATATTTGGTTCCCTTATTTTTTTCACAAAGAGGTTTCCTCCCACAACTTTATAAACGCGTCTGAAAGTCTGATTGTTGGAACTCTTTTCAATC